AATTGAGATATATAAAACCGAAAACTCAAAAATCGAGAAATCGAAAAAATTAACATAACAAAAATTTAAAAGAATCATGAAATAATTGAAAAATCCTAAAGAATCAATCTCCAAAAATTGATCATTCTATAAATCGAAAAATTGAAAAAGAAAAACTGAGATATCGAAAAATTGCAAAATCGAGAAATCGAAAAGTCGAGGAAGAATCGAGAATATGAAAATAGAAAAATCGAGAAATCGCGAAATTAAAAAGCCGAGACGCTGAATAATTGAAAAATTGGTCAATGGAGAAATGAGAAAATCAAAATATCCAAAAATCGAAAAATCTAATAGTCAAAAGGTCGAGAAGTCGAAAAATCGAAAAGCCAAATTAACTGAGATATTTTGAAATCATTGAAATCCAAAATTGTCGCAAATAAAGTATTGGGGAAAGTAAAGTGAAATAATTAAACTGTTCTTATCTGAAAATTAAAATAAAATTGAGAAGCTAGTTGAATTTTAGAGTGTACAATTCATCTCAAAACGGGTCAAGATCGAGACCTGCAGTTTGTACCATTAGATTCCTTGGGATTTTTTAGTCGAAAACTCTAATTTTTGGGTCGTATAAGTTAATGGTTTGTTTCTGAGAGACCGATAAAATGGACAATGCAATTTTCCTATAAAAATCAACATATAAAGAATTTTAAAAGTACACAAAATCCGTAGCTCAAATATGAAGTCGGCATCGTATTCAGGAGATTCGATTTAGTAAAAATATCAATTTTCAAAATGCTGAGAGCCAAATTAATTGAGATAATTCGAAATGAACGAAATCCAAAATTTTCGCAGTTAAGGTTATGAGTAAAATAATGTGAAAAAATCAAACACTTCCGATCTGTCTGAAATTCAGTATCTAAACGAATTTTAGAGTGTACAAATCATTCTCGCTATTAGTTCAATGTTACATCGATTTCGATCAAATTCGCGGTGCATTCTGTATCTCAAAAAATATTGTTACAGTTTAAAGGTTCACCATTTCAAAACGGGTCAAGAACGAGACCTGCGGTTTGTACCATTAGATTCCTTGGGATTTTTTAGTCGAAACTTGTAATTTTTGGATGGTATAACTTAACGGTTTGGGCTTGAGAGACCGATGGACTGGACAAAGCCTTGTTCCTATAAAAATCATCATTTAAAAAAATAAAAAAAATAAAAAAAAAATTCGTAGCTCAAATATGAAGTCGGAATCGTGTTCAGGAAATTCGATTTAGTAAAAACATCAATTTTCAAAATGCTAAACGTCAAATTAACTGAGATAATTCGAAATGAACGAAATCCAAAATTTTTGCAAATAAGGTAAAGGGAAAGTAAAGTGAAAAAATTAAACTCTTCCGATCTGTCTAAAATTGAGTATCTACTCAAATTTTACAGTGCACAATTCATTCCCGTTATAAGTTCAATGTTAATTGGATTTCAATCAAATTGGTGGTTCATTCTATATCTCAAAAAATCTTTTAACAGTTTAAACGTTCACAATTTCAAAACGGATCAAGATCGAGCACTGCAGTTGGTACCATTAAATTCCTTGGGATTTTTTAGTGGAAACTTGTAATTTTTGGATCGTATAAGTTAACGGCTCGGGCCTGAGAGACCGATGAACTGGACGATGCCATTTTCCTACAAAAATCATCATATAAAAAATAAAAAAAAAAAATACAAAATATCCATAGCTAAAATATGAAGCCGGAATCGTATTCAGGAGGTTCGATTTAGTGAAAATATCAATTTTCAAAATGCTGAGAGCCAAATTAACTGAGATAATTCGAAACGAACGAAATCCAAAATTTTTTCAATTAATGTATTGGGGAAAATGAGGTGAAAAAATTAAACTCTTCCGATCTGTCTGAAATTCAGTATCTAGTCGAATTTTAGAGTGTGCAATTCATTCCCGCCATTAGTCGAATGTTAATTTGATTTCAATCAAATTCGTGGTTCATTCTCTATCTCAAAAAATATGTTTACAGTTTAAAAGTTCATCATCTCAATACGGGTCAAGATAGAGACCTGCAGTTTGTACCATTAGATTCTTTGAGATTTTCTAGTCGAAACTTGTAATTTTTGGATCGTATGAGTTAACGGCTCGGGCCTGAGAGACCGATGAACTGGACGATGCCATTTTCCTACAAAAATCATCATATAAAAAAAAAAACACAAAAAATCCGTAGCTAAAATATGAAGCCGGAATCGTATTCAGGAGGTTCGATTTAGTGAAAATATCAATTTTCAAAATGCTGAGAGCCAAATTAACTGAGATAATTCGAAATGAACGAAATCCAAAATTTTTGCATTTTGCAAGTATTGGGAAAAATGAGGTGAAAAAATTAAATTCTTCCGATGTGTCTGAAATTCAGTATCTAGTCGAATTTTGGAGTGTGCAATTCATTCCCGCCATTATTCGAATGTTAATCTGATTTCAATCAAATTCGTGGATCATTCTCTATCTCAAAAAATATTTTTAAAGTTTAAAAATTCATCATCTCAATACGGGTCAAGATAGAGACCTGCAGTTTGTACCATTAGATTCTTTGCGATTTTTTAGTCGAAACTTGTAATTTTTGGATCGTATAAGTTAACGGCTCGGGCCTGAGAGACCGATGAACTGGACGATGCCATTTTCCTATAAAAATCATCATACAAAAAATTAAAAAAAATACAAAAAATCCGTAGCTAAAATATGACACAGGAATCGTATTCAGGGGGTTCGATTTAGTGAAAATATCAATTTTCAAAATCCTGAGAGCCAAATTAACTGAGATAATTCGAAATGAACGAAATCCAAAATTTTTGCAATTAATGTATTGGGGAAAATGAGGTGAAAAAATTAAACTTTTCCGATCTGTCTGAAATTCAGTATCTAGCCGAATTTTTGAGTGTGCAATTCATTCCCGCCATAAGTCGAATGTTAATTTGATTTCAATCAAATTCGTGGATCATTCTCTATCTCAAAAAATATTTTTAAAGTTTAAAAATTCATCACCTCAATACGGGTCAAGATAAAGACCTGCAGTTTGTACCATTAGATTCTTTGAGATTTTTTAGTCGAAACTTGAAATTTTTGAATCGTATAAGTTAACGGCTCGGGCCTGAGAGACCGATGAAATGTACATTTTCCTACAAAAATCATCATGTAAAAAATAAAAAAAAAACAAAAAATCCATAGCTCAAATATGAAGTCGGAATCGTATTCAGGAGGTTCGATTTAGTAATGGTACCAATTTTCAGAATGCTAAGACCCAAATTAACGGATTGAATTTTCAAACTACAATGATTGAAATCCAAAATTTTTCAATTAAAGTATGGCGAAGAATAGGGTGAACCTCGAGACTCTTTCAAAGTACTTCAAAATCAGACTTAAAAAGGTCCCCTAGAACCTTTTAAACTACTTCAAAAAGAAAACAAAAGGGGTCTACCAGATTTTTTCCAACTACTTCAAAACTACAACAAAAGAGGTCCCCAAGATTTTTCCAAACTACTTCAAAAAAAAGTTTTCAAATTATTTTAAAAACCCAACACAAGAGGTCTCCGAGATTCTTTCAAACTACTTCGAAAATTAGAGATAGACAGAAAGGGTCCCTGAGATTCTTTTAAGTTACATCAAAGACAAGAAATCACGGACAGGGCCGGATTCGGACAATTGAAAACCGGGAATTTTCTATCCAGGGGCGTGGCCGTGGTACACCAGAATGCCGGCAGTCGAATCCAAATTTGCTATACTTTTAAATGAAGTAAAATTTCGGCCTTTCGGACGCCCCTCAAAATTTTTCCCGTGCTGGTTCAGCAGATCCCATCCGCACCTGGAATATGAAAAAGTAGGTCTTCCATTTCTATCGTTTTTATTAGTCTACTGACTATTTTATTATCTCGGTATCTCTTTTTAATTGTGACACTACCTTTGTTTTTTTTTTTAGATTTACTCCAGTTATAATAAATTTATCCACCTCTTGACCGTTCCATACTCCTTCAGTAGTACCCAACCTTGACAACCTCACAACCTCCACATCAACCCATTCCTGCGCCGCCATAAATCACCCAAAGCCCGTCCCCACCACCACTGACCATAATTAATGGGTTCGGGCAGGTACCACCTAATTTATGTCCATCACCACCAAAGGGCAGCAGTGTTTTATTGCATCTCCGATAATAATAGATTGAGAAATGCCGCAATTAAATGTGTGGCAACGCGCGATAGAAAAAACGCTGTTGTCACGCTTGCGACGTTTCGACCTCGGCGCATCCACCACCACGCATTATTAGTTTTTATTGTTTGTTTATGTGTTTTTGTGGGCTTTTGGAGCAGCAAACGGCGTCCTTGCGGACGCTGCATTGCGCCATCAAGAATTCCAATGGAAACAGCAAGACTGAAGATGGTCGGAAAATCAAATTACAAAAGTGTGCTGATCGGCGGTTGGGAAACAGAAGACATATGGGTATCGGGGAGGTATGTGACATTTCACTTTGTTTGCGTGAAGTAATAATTGATTGTCGAAATGGTAGTACTTTGTTGATGATTAGAGGAAGACAGATGGACACAAATTGGCTGAGTCACGTTGGTTGCACGGATCATGATTTATGGGTAGGTAATGGGTTTGGGTTACCGAAAACATGACTGGGTTTTTTTTGACACCTTTAGATAAAGAACGCGATACTATGATCATCATTATCATTACTATGATTATTATTATTATTATTATTATTATTATTAAATACGTCAAGCAGCAGGTGTAGAGTCGAAAATTAAAAAAAAGTGACATAGTATGATTAATGTCAAGCCACAATGCGTCCCCACGCCCCATTTTCAGCATTCCTCGACCCGTTTCTTTTTTTTTCGGGCATCCTCAGGACAGCGCTGCACAATGCACCGCGCCGGCAGCCGCCGTCTTTGACGGATTACCAACCGTATGAACTCTGCTAAAAGCTCAGCCCCACTACTCTCCGGCCACTGACCACTCGGAGACTCCGGGCTCCACTTTCAGTTTCGTTGGCGGGTTGATGCCGGCTGTACGCGCGAGATCTTCGCCGACGAGCAAATTATGTGTTTGTAGAGTGCTCGTTCGTTTGGGCCCGAACACCGAACCGAGATTCTAGGGTAAATATTGTGCTTTGGTGCTTCTGGGGCGGACGAAGCGACGGACACCGGGTTGCAAAATTGGTCGATTCGCGAATCCGCCTTCGACTTGACTTTTATGTAACAAGTATGTCGCTGAATGGTGAAAAATTTTTAATGGCTCATTAAAGGAGTGAGAATGTTGAATGGATTTTGCGTACACTCGGTGTATGTGTGTTGAAAAATGGAACGTGGGGTGGGTAAGAAAACACTGTTAGCGAAAATTGACACTTAAACAAGCCCACGAAGCTTTCTAAGAATTTAGTTAATATTGTAAAAATTACTCCTACTATTTGTGTTAAAATACAAATATATAATTTTTAATTTAGAAAAAATTAATATACAGGGTGTATCCTCTTTCTTAACATATTTGTATATTTTGATACAGTACTGAATATTATTTTACAAAAAATGTCTACAGCTTGCAAACGTGGTGAAGAAAAATTTGTATTAGAAATTTTTGTTTCTTTGATAATAATCTGAAAATATCGATTTAACTTTTCAATTATTTTCATGTAAATGACACTTTATTATCAAATTAATTTTTATTTAAACGTCCCCTGTTGTTATTATTTTTTCTTTAGTATATTTAATGTCCTTACAAGACAATGACGTCATCTCAAAAAATGATCACGTCAATATGTGTTAAAAATTTTTTTGAGAAATCCTAGATAAATGGATCTGGAATAACCATTTCCTTTCAGCTAGACGGAATTTTTTTAAATTTTAAAGTTAGCAACGATTTCTCAGCAATACAACCATTGTATTAAAAACCCCATTGTTAAGCTCTGGTCGTAGAAAATCCATTTACAAATTTAGAGAAACGGGAAAATAAGATTAGTGGATCGTGTTAATTCTCATATTCCTTATACAGAAACCCACACTCTAGATATGAATAAGGTTTTTATATTTGTTTTAATTGTTTATAGTTATGATCAATGGTAATTAGGTTGAACCTCTTTCATTATTTTTTTTTATAGTTATACTAATTTAAAGTTTTAAACGACTTACGAAATGGTGTGTACTTATAAATATGGAAATTTTTAGTTAAATATAAATAAATAGAAAAATAATAGAACATTGGAAACAATTTTTAAGAGGTTTAGCGATCGCCAAACGCTGAACATGGGCGTATTATAAAAATTTGAAATTATTTTATTCAACTTATGGCTGTTGTTACACATTGACGAGGATCGCTACCAGGGCCATGTTCCAGCATTTTTATTTTATTAGTACATAGAACGCCCACTGTGTCTTTAACGTCCTAATTCATGGTTTACAATAATCAATTGATTAAATAGTCAGTTTTATTGCTATTATGTTTCGCTGCCTTGTCGAATTGTTTTTATTGATATATACAAAGCAATTTCTACACTATTATTCGATTAACTGCGATTACGAACTGTGACATATTTTACATTATTTCTGTTTTATTATTACTAGTTTTGCTAACACAATCAAATAAGAAAGATATTCAACTAGAAGTGGACAATTTGAAAATTGAAAAAATTTCCCAAGTATTTGTAAACTACGACAAAAGCCAGCACACTATTTATTGGCTCTCAAAGAGTGTTTACCGAGTTTACTTTCTGTGGTTTAGTGGTAATTACTTATGCATGTGTGCTCTGGCTTCAAGCCATTATAGACTGTTGCGAGGTGGTCTTGAAGACTGTTTCTTTTGTACTTGGAAATTTTACAAATATTCCATGACACACAGGCGATAAACCTTCAAAAATTATTCGATTCACAGATATTTATTCTAATTTTTTTACGGTTTATTAATTATGCAAATAACTAATATTACGGGATGCATTTTGTCCAACCAATTGGTTCCATCCTGCTGTAAAATTAAACATTTTACTAATGAATTGTATAACGTTAGTATTGTCCATGTTCATTAAATTTGCAGAAATTGGTTCCATCCTGCTGTAAAATTAAACATTTTACTAATGAATTGTATAACGTTAGTATTGTCCATGTTCATTAAATTTGCAGAAATTCAAATTATTGCACCTGCTATTAAGGATACAACTGTAGTAGTTTCATTTATTTGTTTATTTATAGGTTATGAAACTTGTTCCAACTGTTCGCCATGTGTTTTAATAATTATATTACTAAGATAACTATTAGATAATTTTTGCACAAATGTTTACATATTTAACAAGGTCTTTATTCATGGTTAACTGTATCTGCTGTACATTTACTTACTAAAACAGCTGATGTCCGAACACTGTTCTCCGTAAGAGGTAGCACGCCCCTCTCAAAAAAAAAAAAAAAATTGACAGAATCAAAATTTCGTTTAAATTGTCAAAATATGGAACTTCTAGATTATTTTTTCAAAACTTTTAAAAAATGCAGCTTTAGGGCATTCTCGCATTTTTCGTAACAACTCATGACATTCTACTAACATTCATCTTCCTCTGCTGCCTACTTTTAAAAAACCGTTTAATCTCTCGTTAATCAAAATCGCAAAAATCCCCTAACTAGGTCAATAAAACACCGAAGCTCCATGATATTTGACAAGCGATTTACAAGATTTAAAAACGTGATTCGACACTTAAAATATGCAATTAATTCACAACAGTGATGATGTAAAAATTATTATTAATGAACTCGTCACAAAGCGTACGTGTTTCTCTTTAATATCAACTCTCGATTTTACTTCTATTATTCGGCTGCCATTCAAAAAATTAAGCAATTAAAAAACACACGATAGATTGAGCTGCAACAATGGTGCATTTCTACGGCGATTTATCAATCATTGAGCAGAACAGATTGTGGGAACAGACGAAAAAACGCAAAAAGTCTGTTAATTTTTGTTCGGAACCGTTTATCTAATCGGCTGATAAAAATAACAGATGACGCTGGAAGGAAATGTAGAAACTTTCTTATGAAAACGAAACGGAAGTCGATAAAAATGAAGATTACTCTATCGCGCATGAAAAAGTTCAGCCGACAGAAAAACAGTTCAGTGGTGGTACTTGACCATCAGATGCACCTCGAGGTACGTTTATAAATAAAAACGTTGATAAAATTTCCACCGAGATACTTAAAAATCTATTACCAACAGTTAGGGAAACACAAATGAAAAAATTAATTATCACAAATGACTGTAACAAGACCAGTACTGAAAAACAGTACTCTCTACGAGGTTTTCTTTTTCAAATATAATAACAATCTCCATTACCAAGTCATTGACTTTTCTGTTTAAAATTCACTCCGTGCACACTCGTGGGTACCATACGAAATGTTGCAACCCGCATCCACTCTTATTTTTATGAATTTTTTAAAGATAATAGCAAATCATCCAGCACAGTGGACAAGTATGAAGCAATTACAACAATAGAAAACCGACAGAACAATGTTAGTCTGAAATGAAATACGGTTACCCACGTCGTGTTCGCCATTGTCTTATTATATTATATTTAAATCGGGCTGAAATTAATTAAAATAGACAATGTACGAGTGGTACCGTTAGCAAATAACGACAGCAGAATTGATAGCCGCATGCACGGAATCAAAGGAAATCGAACTTAATTAGCGAAAATGTTGTAGAAATCGCATTTGGTATGCAAGGAGTACGCGCTGAACGTGAGTACGACAAGCAAGTACCGTTGCTGGAACATATGTTGGGTGCTGTGACCCTGACATGGATGACCCTAGTATTGCCCGGATTTAACCCCGGGAGAATTTTATTTCTATTCATAGCCGCTGCAAGGTGATAATAAACTTTGTGCACGTGCGAACACGGATTGCGTAAGAGTACGCGTAGTCACACGGAAGACACAAAATTCTGCACCAACAAAGAAAAATATGAATACTTCAACTCGTAAAGATAACCCAACATAATGCGGTTTCTAGATTTCCATCACGTAGCGGAAGTGCATTGCGTAGGCGCGTTTTGGCAGACACGCAGTGCGCAACTTTGAGTCCTAGCTTATTACGCGCCTCGGAAAATTAAACCTGGGTCGGCGATATTTCGTCAAAAGAAGCTTAAACGTTGCGTAAACGCCGCTTCCGTCCGACCAGCTCAAAACAATGAGCGACGATCCGCAGGGCGCAACTTTGGGCCCTATCCTGTGCGCGCAATGCGAAGAATTTCGAAACGGCGTGTCGTCGCCCCGACAAAAGAATGACTGCTCACGACACGGGCGGATGTTGCATGCTTTATGGCCGTCAAAATGAAGAAACATGAGCAATTGCTCCCGACAAATGCATCTGTGTACATCGCGGCGGCGTGTTTCTGTAATTAAGTGCAATTTGGAGTGAATGAAAAGTGAGTTGTGTGGCGTTTCGCAAGGCGATTACAATGCGCGCTTTAAAATGAATCAGATGTTGCATTAGTTTTTCTAGAGATAGCTAGATAGAGTTTTTTCCTTACCAAAATTTGGCTAATATTTACTTTATAGAAGTTATTATTTCTTTGCAGTTGTCAGTGTCATGCGGGAGAGCTGAAACCCGGCACATCGCAATGTTAAGATGGCTTGGACCGCGCAAGGCCCCGACGCCGAACGACGGTCAAGCAGATCCCATCCCGAGCATCCTCCAAGACGAAGACGTCACCGACGACCCCCTGGCCACGCTCGACACACTGCGGAAGGGACAGAAGCAGATCTACTCAGTCACCAGGTCAGTCTTCTTGCCCAGAGTTAGCCTCAAGAACACTTGTAACACTACCACTTGCTGTACCAGTGCAGGGTGAGTATGACCCCTATAGAGTGTCCTAGAATTCTCACCACCCAATTCACAAGTCAAAAATTCGTGGACACTCTAGACAACCCTGCGTCACCCAGGTACCACCACGTACTCACGCCAGTCTTCCTTGCAGGGTGAACCCACTCTTCCGCGACACCCAGCACAAGCCCCAGCGCCAGATCAGCCCCCACCCCGAAAAATCCACTTCTTCGGGCTACGGCAGCAGCGTCGACCACTTCTACTCCGAAGCGAAACTCCGCGATGACGCCGTCACCATCCTGGAACAAAACCCGGCTTTCGTCAAGTCCATCAAAGTACCATCGCGTACTATCCGCAATAACCGGTCGCTGCCGTCCTCCGGGTCGTCGGGCGCCGGTACCCTGACCACGATCCCCGAAGGACGCGTCGACTTGCCCATCCCCAAACCCATCTGGCCGGACAAAAAGGCCCACGACTCGTTGGTCGACGACGCGCTGTTGCTGTACACCAGTCTGCACCACCACGACGAGTCCGCGTTCTTCGACCACCGCATGGAGGTGTCCGTGAAGGAGGTGCTGGTGGAGCTGCTCAACGGGATCAACGCCACGATGGAGGGTACCACTGGGTTGAGTCCGGAGGAGGTGCTCAAAACCGTCAACGAGAAGATCGCGGCGAGTATTGAGACGTTGAGGGTGAGCACTGAAGAGGAGATGAAGAAGCTGTGTGTGAATTTGAGCAACTGCAGGAAGATCAATTCGGTGCTGAGGGCTTTTAGTACTTCTGGGGAGAGGACGGGTAGTGATGACGAGTTCTATCAGGTAGCGTCTGGGTCGTCGAGTAGTGGCTTTAGTGATTTGAATGCTCTGCCGGTTTTTATCCACGAGGACCTGGGGAGTGTGCCGAATGGGCTGAGGAACGCGATGATCTATGGGACTCTGTACAGAGGGAAGGGGGCGGGGAAGGCGAAGGAAGCACCCAAGAAGATCTCGTTGAGGGATGTCAATGACAACAAGCCGAGTGTGTGGGAGCAGTACTATGGGGTGAAGGCGGTGCAGGAGGGGGAGGTGAAGTATGCGCCGAAGCCAACGGATGTCCCACTTTTTGTAAGTAAGGTTTTAATGTATTGTAATCGAGTCCTAGAGTATGAAAACTAGGTCTCCCGTTTCCGTCTGCCGTCTGTCCGAATTTTTATTAGACAGCTAATCTCCGAAACTACTGGACCGATTGTTGTAAAATGTGTCTCATATACGTCAGGGGCCAGGGAAGTTCTGTCGAAATAACCTTCAACTAATTTTTTCACAACTGAAACCATAAATATCTCGGCGATTTTTGATTGTGAAAAGTGAAATTACGTAGCCTACTTAGTCGAGCCATTCCGCCACCCACGTGACTCACTCGTCCATGCCGTTCGTGAAATTTCACTATGACCTCAACCCTATGACATCAACAGTACATTTTTCTCGCGGCTTTTCGGCTCCCGTTTGAAAGGTTAGGTGTTGCATTGACCACGTGACCCACAAACGTCAAAACGGATGGACGATCGTCGATAAGTCCGTTTCCTCTGTCTCCGTTCAAGGTCAACCGATCGTCAGATGCCCACTTTGGGATGCTATGTTTAGATGTGGCTAAATCGGTAATTAGCAACGGTTAATGTCAAATAGTGATGAAATATCACCGTGAAATTATGTGATTTTATCGGATTTTCATTCAAATTGGATATTAATTAGTGGAATTTGCTTTTCGGTTGTCTGACATTTTGGTAGCTGGATCTAGGAGCCCGTGGAGGTGTCGGCCATTTTAAGTCAACGGAAAATGTCACTCTCAAAAAACTTAGCTGACTCACACTGTAGTTTTGTTTTGCTTTTCTCATACCGTAATTGTTATAAATTCCGCCCTACTTTCGAACCATCCACCGTGCACCGATTCAGAAAATTCCAATTACAACCATGATATAACAATTAGTAAAGTTTACTCTCTAATTGCGACGCTTAATGGCTCGGAAATGACACCAATGCAACTCTCACTGTTATTTTTCCCCGAAAGGTCAACTGTCAAATTAAAAGATTTTTTTCCACGAGATATGTTTCCGTTCCGCGAAAAACGACCATCTCGAAAACCGTAGACGCAAAACAATCGATTCGAATCTGATTCGCCATGGCCCACTTAGAGCGCGAAGTCCACGGATGAGTAACCCGGGCCCAAAAACGCGCCGCTTCCCAGGAGACCCTCAGGTAACCCACAGCGTCCCTATTCAAACCAAAAAATTAGAGTGTCTCTCACGGATCCCCATGCGACCCCTTCCTGCTTCGTCGAAACGCACGCACTTTGGTCAATTATGATTCCAACAAAGAGAAACTGCGCACGCTTTGATAAACATCGCAGCTGATGAAACTGGCGATCTACGTGTCCGAAGGCACACAAATCGGCGAAAATTCTTGCGAAAGACAAGTAGGAAGTGTTTGGGTTTGGAATTATTCAAGGTGTCGCATCTCGCGTCGCAAAAAATCAGATCGGTCATATATCAAAATGATGTGGGCACTTTCTCCGAATTCGGAATGTTCGGATTTAGATTTATGGCGTTTTAAGCACTTTATCGCTGAGAATCGAGAGCGGTTAGTGTTTCTAGCAGGTGTACTGAGTTTTAATTGGGAATTACAGTGGGTGTTATGTAAGAAGTGAGTTGTGCGGAGGTAGCGTAATTATGGGTTCGGGGGGAGGTGGATCAAAAATTGGTTATTCATGGACGTTTTTAGAAATCTGTTGTCGGGGATTGATAATCCAATAAAAGTTTAGCGGTAGTTCTTAAAGTCTGGATTTTTGACAACACGTTTATGGAATTAAAAATTTAGAAAATGAGTTTGCTGTTATAGCGGAAATTGGACTGTTGAAACATCCTCCAGTGTAAAAGTAAGAAATCTACAGAAGCAGCAGACATAAAATCGTTAAATGTCACTCCATGTAAAAACTGCTTGTGATTTCGTAACATTTCTTCACTATTTAATTAAAAACACAATGTCTTAAACTAAATAAAACTGTTGATCTACTTGATTTTTAAATTTATGAATTCTCAACTCAAAAAAATATGTATATAAAACATATAAAAATATGCCTGAGTTATTTTATTCTTCAGGATAACCAAAAATAGTTCTTCTCGACATTTCATGTTGCGTAGAAGTGTACTGTCAAAAATCCGAAACTCTGAATGTCAAAAAAAGTTATTTCAATTTTAGTGCTAGAATTAAAATCCAAAACGACGAGAACGATATTACCACAGTCAGGAATGAGTAGAATTCGGATGATGAGAAGGGCGAGAACAACGAAAACAACACGAAGATAAAGAACTAAGCGAGAACGAACAAGAATTAAGAGAACGCCACGAGCCTGATAAGAATGATACGAGAGCGACGAAGAACGAGTAGGACGAAAAGGACGAGAGTGACTGCAAGAACTAGAAGGACACGAGAATGACAAGTATGATATTTGGATAACAAACAACAAATAGGACGGGAAGGACACGAGAATGACAACACCATTACGAGGACAACGAAGAACGAATCGGGTTAAAAAAAAGAATGATGAAAACAAAGAGATAAGAGCGACTAACGAAAAAGACGACAATGTCGATAAGGACATGAGAAAGACGGGAACGAACGAGAAAGACGACAGGGATTTCAAGGACGAGACAAAACACAGAACTAGTAGCACGAGGACGGCGAGAAGAACGAGAAGGACGAAAGGGCCACGGGAATAACAAGAACAATACTAGGATAATAAAGAACGACTAAGGGGAGAAGGACACGAGTGACATGAGAACAACAAAAACAACATGAAAATAACGAAGAAGAAAGGGAACGACGGAAACGAACGAAAATTAGGAGAGCGACACGAAAACAAAGAGAACGACACGAGAGTGATGAGAATGATGCGAGAGCAATGAAGAACGAGTAGGACTAGAGAACGAGATTTAACGAGAAAGAGACGGGAATGACAAAGACGACACTAAGATAATAAAAAAGAGTTGGAGAAAAAGTACAAGAATGAGAACGACGCAAAACCCGTGGGAATGACACGAGAGAAACCCAGAATCAGCAGCACGAGGATGGCGAGAAGGTCGAGAAGGACACGAGAATGACAAAAACAACACAAGAATAACGAAGAATGAGTCATATTAAAAAAAGAATGACAGGAAGACAAAAATGATGCGAAAACAACGACAACGAATGAGAATGATGAGAATGACGGGAAAACTGTGAAAACGGCACAAGAGTAACGCAGAACCAGTAGGATGCGGACGACGAGAAGGACAAGAGAACCAAAAAACAACACGAAAAACAAATGACAAGAACGAAGCGATAACGACGAACAACAAGAAAACGACACGACAATGACGAGAATGAGCATGAAAAGCACGTAGGGAAAAGCGGGTGAAAAGGACGAGAATGACGAGAAGAACTAGTAGGACGAGAAGGATGACAAGAATGAGAAGGGCACAAAGAGAGCCAAAACAAAAGAAGAACGACACGAGAATGACAACAACAAAACAAAACAAGGACGAGTAAAAGGAGAAGGACAAGAATGAAATGAGGACGAAGACGAATAAAACGTGAATAACGAGAAACGAGAACCACAACACACAAGAACGACGAGAATGACAAAAATAATGAGAAAAAAAATTTAAGGAGGAGAAAGATGAGAACGACACGAAAAGAAAGAGAACGACACGAGAGTGATGAGAATGATGCGAAAAGCGTGAGAATGACACGAGAGAAACACTGAATCAGTAGCACGAGGATGGCGTGAAGGACGAAAAGGACATGAGAATGACAAAAACAACACAATAATAACGAAGAACGAGACATCTTTATAAAAAAGAGTATAGCAGGACGAGAATGATGCGAGGACGACGAAAACGAACGAGAATGATGAAAATGACGAGAAAACTGTGGGAACGGCACAAGAGTAACGCAGAACCAGTAGGACGCGGACGACGAGAAGGATAAGAGAACTACAAAAAGAACATGAAAAAAAGGATGACGAGAACGAAGCGATGACAAGGAATAACGAGGGAGGGATTCGACAGTGACGAGAATGGTATGAGAGCGACAAAAAACACGTATCTAGGGAGAGACGGGTGAAAAGAACGAGAACGTCAGGAATGACTGGTAGGACAAGAAGAATAAGAGAAGAACGATACGAAAATTATGGGAATGACGGCACCCACGAAAAACAAGTAGGATGAGAAGGACACGGGAATGACAAGGACGAGTAAAAGGAGATGGATGAGAATGAAGTGGGAACGGCGATGAATAAAACGAGAACAACGAGAACTACGAAGTATAAGAATGACGAGAAAGGCACAAGAACGACTAGAATAACAAAAATAATGAGAAAAACAGAAGATAGATAAAAATAAAGTTAAGGTTGCAACGCGGGAGAATCCTCTAAAATTTAAGGAGGAGAAAGAGGAGAACGACACGAAAACGAAGAGAATCAAGAACAAGTCGGACTAGAAGGACGAGAATGACAAGAACGCCACTAATATAACAAAAAATAGTAGGAGGAAAAGGTCAAGAATGCCACAACGCAAAAACCGTGGGAACGACGCGACAGCAACACAAAATCAGTAGCATTAAAATAGCGAGAAGGATGAGAAGGACACGAGAATGACAAAAACAACACAAGAATAATGAATAACATATTTATAAAAAAAGAATGACAAGAACAAACGAGAATGATAAGAACGACTCGAAAATTGTAAGAACGAAACAAGGATAACGCAGAACCAGGAGGACCAGGACGACGAGAAGGACAAGAGAACTATAAAAAGAGCACGAAAGAAAAAAAAATGAAGAGAACGAAACGATAACGACAAATTACAAGAGAACGACACGACAATGAAGAGAATGGTACGAAAGCGACAAAAAAAAACGAGAAGAACAAGAGAAGAACGACACGTGAATGACGTGAATGCCACGATACCCACGCAGAATAAGTAGGACGAGAAGGAAGACAAGGACGAGACAAAAAAAAGAAGGATGAGAATATAATGAAAAAGACGAAAAGGACGTCGAATAAAACGAAAATAAAGAAAACCATAACAAAA